CTAGAGTATAACTTTTTGTACCTTTTGTGCAGGAAGGTGAATTTCTGCGAACATGCCTTGTACTTGCTTTATAAACTTTTTATAAAAGTTACCATTTTTACATAATAAAAAAAAAATTCGTTTTGACTATTCTTTTCTCCTCGGGGCTGGAGAGAGCCGGGGGTGCACCCTTGGGTGAGAGAAAACGAGGTCCTCCCCCCTCTGTGGGTGGGAGCCCCCTGAACTCTGATGGGAACTTCTAGGGTTACGGCAGGAATCTCCGTAATTGTGTAATAGCTTTGAAATGTCAGCTCAGGTATGGGAGGAATTAACCCTGGGCTGCCGGCTCCGGGCCGAGGTGGCTGCCAGCTATTTTGGGTGCTGCGCTGCTTATCTGATATGGAAGGAGTGGAGACGCTGCTGAGCCCCGGGGACCATCTGGAGGTGTAGCTGCAGCCCTGGGAGGTGGGGGGGGAAAGATGTCTTTCTTTTTTTTTCCATTTTCTGCCTTGCAAAAAAAAAAAAAGGGCTGCTTGGTGCCCTGGGGCTGGATTTGAGCTTCTCTTGGGCTGGAAGGGGGTGATGCTGTTCCCCCAGGATACACCCCCAGGGGATGGGGGGTTTCTGGGCTGCCTGTGCTTCCCCAGGTGGTATCCAGAGCACACCCCCTGCCTGGCCTGATCCCCCCTCCGGGGTCAGCACCCCAGGGAAGGGGTGTTGGGAGCAGAAATGCCTTTCCTCCCCTTGGGTAATGCTGCGGTTTCCCTTTGGCCCGGGAGCAGATGTGACCCCCGGCCGGCTCAGCTGCGGAGCCGGATCCTGCTCCCTGGGGAAGGTGCTGGCCTGCCTGGGATGGAGTTAAATTGACTTCCCTCCCACCTGTAGTGCCATCATCTTCACCCATCCCCTGTCCAGGGCTCTGGTTTTGCTGGGCCAGGTATGTGGGTGCTGCCCTGTGGCATCGGGGTGTCCCTGGGGGGCTGCAGCATCACTGGGAGCCAGGAAAATGGGAAGAGGGGGAGGAAGGTATGGGGGTCTTGGGGTTCAGGGTAGTGCAAAGCCTCCCTCCCATATACCAGCTTCAGCCTCCATCCCCCTGACAGCCACCATGAGCCCAGGGTGCAGCTGGCACCCGCCAAACCCCCTCCTCATCTGTGGGCATTTCCACAGGGAAAAGCAGCACGTGGAGCTTCCAAAAAGCACCAGCTGGTCCAACGGGATCACCAACCCCTGGGAACATTCCTCCCTCCTCCCAGCTTGATGTCCCCAGGCTCCCCAAGGGCAGCACCCTCAGGCACCCACGGGTGGGGTGGGATGGGGTGGCAAGGGGGTGTCTGGGCGCGGTGGGAGGCAGGTGAGGGTGTCCATCCGGAAATTTTGGTGTCTGGGAACGGAGCTGCTGCTGCGCCGAGGCTAAAAATAGGCTTTTGCCATCGTCCCTGGCTTTTGGCTCTGGAGGAAAAGCCGAGGGGTGGGTTAGGGGTGAGTGTCCCCACGCTCACCCCGGTGTCCTGGTCCTCCAGCTGCGCCAGCGCTGTCGTGCCAAAGGGATTCAAGTGGGAAGGGTGGGAAAAGCGCCCTGGGAATGAGCCAGGGGAAGGGGATGGGCCTCGGTGGCTGCAAAGTGGGGCTTCCTGCAGTGTGAGCACCCCAGGTCCCAGTGAGTCCCCCAGTGGAGATCCTGGAGCCGTGGGAGCATTAATGAGCCCAGTTTGGGTTACTGGGTTACTGGGAGAAGTGGGACCAGGCACTGGTGGGATGGGAGAAACCAGTTCTGCTGGGATTTTCTGGATGGAAACGGCGCTGGGGAGGCGCAGGGGACTCCTGTCCCCGGGGAGTGGAGGTGGCCCCTGTCTCTGTCCCCTCCCGGGGGTCAGGGCAGGGGATTCCCTCGGCCAGGGCCGGGGGCTGTGGGGTTTGGCAGGGTGAGGCTTTGGCGCTGCTTCCCGGGAAGCCTCCCAGGGCCATCACCTCCTCCCCCATCGTGGATAGATCCCGGCGCCTTGCCCGGAACAGCCACCCTGACATTCCCAGGCCCTGGGGATGGCCTGGGGGGGGTGAACAAGCCTTATCCGGACCCTCACTGGCTCCCTGGACTGGGCTGTGGCGTGATGCCAGTGCTTTCCTTGAAAAACCTGATTTAAAAGAAAAAAATAAAAAAAA